ATTTGCTTAAATTAATGTAAAATCAAACTGTAATGAATCATAAATCTGATTGTGAGAGGTATATGGAAGATAAAAAAAGTAAAACGGGTAATCTCATTTTTTGAACGGTAAATACTATTTAAATTAAAAACAAGAGTTATTGATACAATTCCATATCGAATAATTTTATATCAATATTTTATATCTCTATTTACATAAATTCATGCTCTGATTTTAATTAAAATTTTGAGATGATACTAATTATTACAAATAAAATAATGTATTACGTTGATATGCTTAATTTCAATGTATCAGGTAAAGTTCTTATATTTTTTCAAAATTCAAGTTGATCAAAGTTATAAAATTACTGATTTGGTAATTTTTTATAATAATCCTGTGATCCCAAATGAATGTTTTCTCTCTTTTTATAATTTTAATGAATAAACATCACAATTTCGCTAAAGTATTTGCAGAGCTCACAGCAATGTATTACGACGACAGAGAACGAGTTACATACATCACATACTTTAGCAAAAACATTTGTACAGTAATACGATAAATGTTTAAAATCCCAAGCTGTATGACATCTAGTACCAGAAAAGATATGAATTGCCCAAATTTATCATTGTGCTGGGAAAAACACAATCAAAGGATTTATAAACGCATTTGGATGTTTTCTTCTCTACTTTGAATTGAGGATTTAAAACAAATTGAAGCTTCTGGTAATCCGACTCTGTATCTGATTTTAAGTTAATGAAAAAACTTAAATATGGAAAATTCTAGAGAAATAGTTCGAAATATATGATAATATTTTTTTAGATAAAATAAATAAAACTCAAACGATAAACTATAGTTGCTCCATAGAGAATCAGGAAATTAATTGAATATAAATAATATGGTTATCAGTAATTTGATATTGCCATATTGGAAAGCATAATTTTTGAAATGTATTTTAAAATTCATTCGTATTGAAACCCATTCGTTTTGATTCTGTTATATTTATTGACATATATTTAATATTTTTTATATAAGAATATGTTGTCGATCTGTTGAATAACTTCATTGGGATGTTTTATGATATTATTAAGAAAGATTTGATAATTAAAATAATCCTGTGAGATAATTAAAGAGTAATTCCTAGTTGATCAGTAAGAAGTGATTAATTTCAATAATTTATTTCGCTAGTATTTTAATACTCTAATAAATTTAAGACAAACTGTAAATGTGAGCATCATAAAATATATCGAATATATTTTTAAAGTTTAAATTGAATCTAAATGCTTGTCATTTTGTAAAGACCAGCTTTACCTCAACTAGCGAATGCTTGCGTGTTTTGTAAACGTGCTGCCACGTTTATTTCAACTCCACAAATGTTATATTTTCTCTTTGAAAAAAAAAATATTATCATGGTCCGAGCGTTTATATTTACACATGTATATATATATATATATATATATATATATATATATATCCGACAAAACAAAAAATTACTTCTGCATGTGTATGTGACAAGATTAACGAACTCGCGCCCCCCATTTATATGGCCAGTGGACTTTTGAAAGAGATTTGCTCGTTTATCCAGCGATATAAATTCAGAGTACGAATTTTTCGGACATTTCTATTTATCATTCCTCGCGATGCCGCATGTTTATCAAACGCAAGGCTGCTTTGTACACTGATGTGTGTCCTGGATTTTAATAATTTTCATAACATTCCAAATAATGTTCCGCATTATTTTATACATTTTCGTAATCCAATTCAGCCGTACAGATTATACTGATGTATTCCAAAATTAGAACATCAATTGTTAGGCATTACCATGCATATCATAACTAACCAAAATTAAATTTAAAACTATATATTATAAAATAGCTCTATTTAACCCGGATATGTCCATTTACCCTTACGACCTTTGCATGAAATAATTTTCTCCTATGCGGATAACATCGAGGTATGATAATAAAACATGTTAGATAAAACCAGAAAAAAATCTAATTGCGATTTTATGACACTGCATAACGCTTCCGGATACTAAAATGTTTATGTGCACTAAAAGCAGAAAAACAATACGAAGACGTTCCGTGGAAGTAGATTGTGCTTAATAAATAGGAGAACTCATGACTCATCATAACTGCCCTTTTCTTGTAGCTATAAAATTGTACAGGTTCATGGGGTCACAACATATGAGAAAGGAACATGTTTTGTAAATTAAAATCAAGCAAAAAAGTATATCATAAAAGTTTTAGATATTTTCTTGAAATTCTTTTGTATTTTTTCTAGATTGGATTATCGTCCAGAGCAAGGACGTTACGATCTTTTGATCAAAAATGCTTCATACGATCGCGACAATGGTCGATTTGAATGTCGAGTGAAAGCCGGAGGTTCTGGTGATAATTTACACGAACAAAGCATGGCTCTCACAGTTTTGGCACCACCTAGGCAACCATCAGTGTCACCAGGAAATAGAGCCGTTGCTACAGAAGGAAGACCTTTGGAATTGACTTGTAGCAGCACTGGAGGATCACCGGATCCCGTCATAAGGTATGTAATTGTAATTTGTTAATAGCGCGAAATTTTTTAGTCGATTTTAATATTGAATTATATTTTCTAGGTGGTATCGTGATGACTCTCAACATCCGTTAGAAGCTTCTCTGAAATACGGTGGTTCAAGAGATCAGCCAACTTCGTCGACTTTGCGCATAACTCCGGCTAAGGAGGATGATGGAGCAGTTTTCCGATGCTCGGCTTGGAATAGAGCTATGCCTGCAGGTGCTAGATTGGAAGCTGCAGTATCTCTGAGCGTAAACTGTAAGTTTATTCCTACTTTTGAGTATAGTAATTGAAATATCGATATGAAATAATCATTTGATACGATAGTGTAATCATTTTACGTAATTTTGTCGAGTTTTAGCATTTCATTAAATATTTATAACGAAATGCTGGTTTCCATCTCATTACACCAAATCGTCCTGAATATGTTCATTACATATGCTCCGACCGGATCATGGATTTGTTATTATGCAATAAATATGTATGAATCGTCCGTGTCCAACATGTAATTCCGCTCAATAGTTAGACTCTATAATACTATCTCTTTATGTTAAATCACTCGTTTTAATACATGCATTCAGGTTCACGATACATAAATCTTCATATTTACTCAATTCAAAACGTAGGGTTAGGGGCATAATTAACAGCGAACTAGATCGGCTAGGGCTTTTGGGTAATAAATGGAATATTATAAATTACTTGACATGATCAAATAAATTAGCCTCTTTAAACTCCGACCTTTTGAACGACCGTAAATATCCCGATCTAATTAGGACTACGAGCAGGGCATATCAAAAGATTAGGATGTCATTTTATGCCACATATTATATAGACAAAATCCGAAGTAATTGAAATTGGGAGGCGAATTTCCTGTCAATTAGCAAATATATATTTTGGTACAGGAATAACTAACCGGGGACAGCGATAGATAAATAAATTGATTTGTTTAATGTTTAAGATGCCATTTGAAATAATAATTATACAATATATAATATAATACCATCTGCGATGTTTATAATTTGTAGAACAAATACCACTTTTTTTCTAATTCGTTGAAAATAATACGTGCAGAGAAATAAATAAGTGAAATAAAAATAGAATAAATGAAAGTGAGAAAGAAATGAAAGTGAGAAACAAATGAGATGAAATCTTTTGTATTAAATCATCAAGAATTATATATAATTTGAACAAATGTGAACAATTTTATTCTACATATTCTATAGAATTATTTCAAAATAATTAAGTGAACCAGAAAAATCATGTTTTTTAGGTTTTTTTCACTAGATTTTTTTATTACGAAACTATCAAGTGTTTTACAATTTTACAATCCTGGTTAAATGGGCCAATTTTTTATAGAACTTCCCAACACCCTTTAGTATCAAGATTTTAAATGAGGGCCTCTCAAAGTCGAACAATATCGAAAATTCTAAATTAATGGTTCAACAAA